TAGGATAGAGCTGATAGAACTGTGGAAATATTTCCTGGTATTCTATAATGCCCAGTGATTTTTGTCTTCCTGAAATGTTCGTTGGCTATTGCAGTGAGTTATCATCATGCCTGTTTACAGCACAGCTTATTGTTTACTGATAAAGTACCCTCACTGTACTGAGAGATGTTTGCTGCCAAGAATTTAATAGAAATTTCTTGTATAGACATAATTTTAGTATGTTAATTTTAAATCCTTAATAATTTCATAAACTTGTTATGCTCCCACTGAGATTGTAATAAATTCTAATTTTGTACTGTACAATTATAGTAATTATTAATGTCAGCTTTTATTTGTACTATCCTAATTTCTGTCTGCTGTCTGTTCTGTTACAAGATTTTTTTCCCCTTCCTCTGTCTGTAGTTGGATGCAGTCTCCTATGATTGTATCTGGCATTTTTTTTTTTTTTAATCTCTGTCTTGATAAATCACTTCTTGTGTTTATACAGTTAATAATAATAATTAGTTGCAAATGCCAGACTTGCTTTTGAATTCACTGTGTCACGTTGTTGATCATAATTTGGCAGTGAGGAACAGGTAAGTATTATGGTAGTAAGTAATAGATTGAGTAAAATTCCCATTTATCAAGGCTACTTTCTTAATATATTAGTTCATTAGAGACCTATATAGGTCTCTAGGGTATCACTGAGGAACTACTGCCTCAGTATTTGGCATTCTATCTTCAAAATATATAACCAAAGAGGTGACTTTATTGGACTGTATGTTGACAATACTATTTTCAGTGCATTTTTCTTGGCTTTACCCTTAAAGTCTTTTTGATCCTTGAATGGAATGGGATTCTCAGGCTTCAGTTTTTTCTATTCTTCACCTCTTGTTGACTCTGTTTTGTTAGTTTTTTGCTAAAGCTGCTTACTAATAACTACCAAAAATACCTGATGGGTCTGCTGCTTTCTTTCTCTCCTATAAATAATCATCTTCATCTGTCCTGTACATTTTTCAAAACTAGAAGGTACACACCATCTCTGCAGCACAGTTTTAAATTTGCCCTGCTGATGCTGATAACCACTTCTGGTGGTTTAGGAAGGCTGGGATCTCTTGGACAGACTAGAAAAATGATGACGAGTATGTGTCGGTCTTTCATGAGCTGACTGACTAGCAGAACTGACAGTGCTGTAAGGTGCGTTGTAACCTTTTCAGGATTTGGGTATGCCTTGTTTTCAAGATACCCTGAGATTATTTCAGAGGTTGTATGAGGCATTCCTTTGCCTTACAGACTGTGGCATTTTTTGTGTTGTACCTGAGTATCATCTCTGGGTTTTGTTGGGAATAAGTAAAGCAGAATCTGAGGAAGACTTTGCAACAAAATTGAAGTATGATATTTTGTAAGTATGGGCTGGTTTCCATGGAGAAGGGTCAGTATTCAAACTGAAGTCCGACGCTACTGTTTAGTTAAATAGCATCAGAGACACTAGAACTTTGCTTTATTACAGAACATAAAATGGATTTTATGTTGCTCTTTCTTTGGCCCTTCTTCCTTTCATTTCATGCACTCGATATATATATGACTGATGCTGGCACACAGCTCAGCGGATAGAGACATGATTTTATTTTGGAGAGGATGAGTGCCTTAGTTCATTGCTTTCATTGCCAGATGTATGTCAGTGTTTGTTGTGGTACCGCTGGACAACGTTAAATCCACGTTGGCAGGCTTTGGTAATACATTTCTTAGACAACCAGCAGTGGCAACAGTGAAGAAAACCAAACTCTCTATTTGTTTGCGAAAGGCAAACGTAGTCTCAGATCCTCTTTTCAGGAATTGCTTGTGGTTCCAAGTTCTAATGTTGCCCGTGGCTTGGGCTTGTCCTTTTCAGAATAATTTAGATATGTATGTTGATTTTAAAGAACTTTGAAAAATTGCCACTTGAATCAGTCACTTCAGGCTGCCTATTGAAAGGATTATCTGGAACATACTCTCTTCTTCATGGATTCTTGGATTGCCGTTTTGCCTGCAGTCAGGTCAGGGGTTTTGCTTGATTTGGGTTTGTTTGGGTTTTTGTTGTTGTTGGGTTTTGTTTTGGTTTTTTTTTGTTGTTGTTGTTTGGTTGGTTTGGTTTTTGGTTTTGTTTTTTCCTTTCCATCCTCAGATTTTCAAATTTTGTCCTGGCTGTACTCCTTCATCTTCATAGTTGTCTTCCTTTTGTCTCAGTCTCTATGATTAGGGATGGTAGGAGTTCCAACAAGGCATAGCTCTGATGTGCCCTTTTTTCCTGTTGCTCTCTGCAGTGCTTTGACCTCCTTTGCCATAAAAGTCCTTCAGCTGTGGTTGGGAGAGCAGTAAGCCTGGGTTCCTACCCAGGCTAAGTCAGCGTGAAGAAGGAAGTCTCAGCTTCCTTTTTCCCCTGCTCAGGGAGTGGTGGGTACGGAGGAGTTGAGAGAATGAGGGAGAAGAAAGATCATAAGAGACAGTGTTCCTTCTTACATGTATGCTGTTACCTCACGGGATATTACCTCTGAATTACTGAAACCAAAGGTCCATTCTGAGGACAAGTTTTGTTTACAATGTTCGTGTAGAGAAGTGCTGACTCTTCAGGGCAACAAGAGGTAAAAGAATATTCCAATCCATCCATCTTACTTACTGTGCTATTTTCTTCCTAATATGTACACCTGCTGCTCTGATACCCTTTTTCCTACTTGCAAATCACGCGGGTATAAGATTGCGCCTTTTTTTTTTTTTTTGTTACTTCAGACTGTGTAATCTTGGAAGGGCCTTGTAGGGAATATGTTACGGGTCACTAGAAGTGCATGCTTCAGGAAGAAAGAGGAGACCAAATCTCCAGAACTTTGAAATTACACTGGAATTCATTAAGGGGGAATGGCCTCTAAAAATGCATAGGAAAAGTGACAACTACAAATAGCTCCCTTCATTTTGGTACATCTTACTCCCAGTTCCTTTGCTCAGTGTCAGTATTTGGGTGTTATGCCATTCGCCCAGCAGGTTAAGTCCTTGATTTCCATTAGTTTCAGTAGTCAGCGTGTGCACTGTGAATCAAATATACATGGCAAAGACCCAGTCTGCAATTCCTACTGCTCCTTGGCGGGAGTTTATTCAATCTGTTCCTCTTGGCTAGGACTCTTATCCTGGTTTGTGGTCTTATTTACAGTGTGACGGCAGAGTTATTTCCACTCCAAAGCACTGTACTGATAGTGTCTAAATGCTTCAGGATGAGATATGGCTGGAGATCTGTGGAGAGCTGAACTTAATTTAAATTCTGCAAGAGCTATCTGTTATTTTCAGACAATTTTTTTTTAATAATATAAAATGTAGACTTTTGGGAATGGGGGTTGAAACTTGTGGTCTCTCCTTGAGAGATACTGTTTGGTCTTCTGAGCCATCATGTGAATGCCCTATTCCTGGACCTCATATGTAAATGTTTTCCATCATATTTGATACTATTCAGGGATTATGTAGATGCATAATGATGTAGGTGCAGTTTATGCTTTAAAGTCTGAGTGCAGAGCCATGGATTTGGCAAAGAGCTAGGGAAAAGAAGTTCTGGTTAGCTCATGTTTAGGGAGGATCCGTTTCAGGAAATCTTTAACCACACAATTCCAAATATTCATGCTGATACTGTAGAATGTAAGTTTTTATTGTTTTTCTCTCTCATTTTATGTACTTAAGACAAATTTGTGTCTTAAAAACAGTTTGGGGGGGGATAAGCACGTTCTTTGAACAAAGTACTGAACAAAGTGGGGATAAGCACGTTCTTTGAACAAAGTACATCCCACTGAATTTACAGTGGGATTTCAAATTATTGCATGTTGGCTATCTGTCCATGTGCACGGTCATATCCCCCAGTTAAGGTGAAGTAAGCTGTTCCTCATTCAGTGACTTGTGATTGCCACTTACATTAGTACACCCAACAGTAAAAGTAAGATTTTATGTACTGGTAGTTACTATAGGGCATTTTACACACAATAACTTTTTACTTTACAGCAACTTTGGTGTCCCAAGTCCTAATACTGCCCCTGCCTTGGGTTGATAATTTTCAGAATAATTTACATATGCATGTTGATTTTAGAGCACTTCGAGAATTTGCCACTTGAATCAGTCACGTTGGCCTGCTTATTGAGAGGGTTATCTGAAGAATGAAGGTGAAGGGTAAGCAACAAGCACAACTCTGAACCCTGCTGGCAATGACACTTGTGTTTGCAGCAGACCGTGGTGTGATGGCATAAGGCCAGTTGAACTGGTCAGCAGAGGTGATGAAAAATGCCGTGGAGGCGGAGTTAAGTTTAGATGAGTGCTTAGCAGGATAAGAAATTCGGTCTCAATATTCTAATAAAAACAGAGATCTAAGTACTGCTATAGAAAGACTGGTGAGGAGCTCTATTAAATGTGTAACTTCAGTCTGAAAAGTGCTCACGTCAGGTAATATGTGGGGAATAACAGGGAAAACATAACTAGTATGTAAAATGAGTAGCTTTATCCAGACAATGTTAAATAATAGAAACTTCCTCTCAAAAAAGTATTGAATAATTGGGGAAGTTTCAGAGGTGGCTGAAAAATGAGCAATACGAGGTATACACATGTAAAGAGACTGAAGATTGGATTCATTTGAGGGGGAAAAATGAGGAAGAGTGTGATACATATGTAAATATATGTGTATATACATATATGATGAATCTGGAACATCTGCTGTCACTGTCTTATAACACAAGAGGAAGGACACAGTGAGATCCTTACCAAGTTTTTTTTTTTTTCTTTTTAAAGTATGTTCAGATCGGTTATTGGGCATTCAAATGTATGCATTTATAATAAAATGGAAATGGATTCCATGTTTTTCCCTAAAAATTGCTTCAAGTTAGGTTTACAAATGTGTTTCTGTTTTAAAAGCATGTGGCTTGAAACCCTCAACTTCAACCACTCCACGTGAAAATGAAGGTCTCTTTAGTCCTGCACTTTGTTTTAATTTCCACCACCCCCCCACCCTCCCAATACAGAGCTCCCTGAAGATGCCTGGCTTATATTGCTTCAAACTGTCTGGACACTTGCTGTTTAACTGCTGAAGCTTTCCTACCATTTGTTTTTCTCCTGAACCCTTAATCTATTGAGGAATCGGACGTGGCTGCTATGGTAAGACTTTTTTAAAGTGGTAGTAAAATGCTAAAAGTGGGTACAATGTGTCAGTTCATTTTGGTTTTATTTCTTTATTTATTAGCAAGACACCAAAACAAAAAAAAAATCTTAATGCTGTACAAAATCAGAAGAGGATGATGCCCAACTTCGAACTAACTAACCAACCAAGAAACTTTTGTTCTGCATTTTATCTGTTTATAATTGCCCTGTGCTTCTAAGTGAGGAGTAAGGATCAGGTGAATAATGTCACAAGATCTTTTTCTTGTGTGTAGATATATGTGTATAACTGATCAAAATGTTGTGTATGAGTGTTTTACAAGTCTCTTCTAGATACTGCATTTTGTTTTAAATGCATTTGGGTTTAATGTCAGTTCAAATCACAGTATTTAAAATACTTAAGGTGATTCATAGAAGCATAGAAGTTTTGACTTTTGGAGAATAAAAATTGCTAAAAATAAGAAGTGGAAACGTTGTAAACAACAGGTGAGATAGAAGGATGACTGCACCTCTAAGCAGATACAAATACACAACTATTTGCTAGATTATGCAATAATACTGCATTTGGAAACTGATATTTGTCCTTGATCTCAACAACTGTAGCAGTTTTGAATAACCATGTGATATTTTACAAATTTCAGGAATCAAGACCAACTAAAACATGAGAAGATGTATTCAAGATGATCCAGCCAGATTTTTCACGTCATAGAGATCTTATTTTTGTTCAATATGTAATATAATTTGACAAAGCCAAGTTCAGTTACTTCTCTTGAAATTAAGACACACCTGTGGCCTTCATCAGAAATGTTTCTAACATTTTCAAGAAAAAATATGTCCCAGAAACTGAGTATGTTTTTATTAGTTTTTGGAATCATTTGGGGTTTGATGTTGCTACGCTACACTTTTCAGTATCCAAGACGCCAAAGCAGTGCCGAGTTGCGTGGACAGATACTAGATCTAAGTAAAAGATATGTCAAAGCACTGGCAGAAGAAAATAAAAATTTAATGAACGGTGGCGGTGGAGCCTCTATGGCAGGATATGGTAAGAGGGGGAAAAAAAAAAGCTAGTTACTCGAATGTCTTTTTTTCCTGAAAACTGTAGTTACACTTTTTTTCCTTTTTAAAGTAGTATGTACTGCTCTTTAAGAGGAAAAACTCTCTGTATTAACTGATTTGATTTTAGTTTATTCACTGAAGTTGAAGATTAAGATGTGGCGCAAAATCAAGCTTGAGACATGAGATTTTTGTTTTCCAGGAATTTTTTAGGTATCTCCAGGTATATGACTACTGTTACTTACAGGATTAACAGTAACATTGTGCTTTTTCTGAATCTTAAGCTATTGAGGAATAAGCACATGCTTGATATGGGGACAGAGCTTTAGATTAAGTCACTTCAACATTCCAGATTCTTCTTCTGCCTCATTGCTAACTTTCTGCTTTTATTTCTTTAATTTTCTTCTCTTTAAGTAGTAAAAAAGCAGCAGAAAGCAACATACTAGTTGAGTTTGCAGTCTTGAGGCTGCAAGGCAATTATGAATTTAGCAGAATCTCCCCTTGCTTTAGAAGTAGCCATTAGAGATAAGGTCCCTTGTTTCTAGAGCTTTGACGCTTGCTGCGTCGTATCTCTCTGATTTACCTGTTAACTTGATGAGTATTCATTGGTAATATATTACTAGAGCCTGTGCCTGTCTTCTGAAATAGAGAAAAGAGAGATTTGAGACTGTAATTTTAAGATCTTTTTAGCAAAGCTATAAAAATGTCTTAATAATTTTAACTCTTTGGTCCCTCGTAGCTTCTCTTGAGGGAAGGCTGCAATGAGCTGTAGTTAATCCCTTGGGGATTAGGTTTGAAGAAACTACCTGTATTCTGTCATAAATGTATCTGTGAAAATAAGGGTAGTACAAGGCTTAAAAAGAAATATTAAAAAAAAAAAAAAGGTGAAGATTTATATTAAAGTACTTTGATCCCCTTCTTAAGGAATCCTTAAAAGGGTGGGCTCTACCAGTTGTAGGATGCCCTTTGTAGGCACTCTGGTAAGAGTACAAACAGCAAAAATCTGTGTGAACTCTTTTCACTGCTGCTCAGGAACAAGGAGGCAAGTCTGTGATGACAAGATGAGCAGGAAGCAACCCAAGAGGAGGAGGACAGTATCAAAACGTCTTAGCCTTTAATTCTTTCATTCATTAAGTTAACATTTTTACCACAGTAAAAGACGACTTTTTCTTTTCTTCCCCCTCTTCTCCCCACCCCCTTTTTTTCCTGTCTTCAAGGATTTCCTGCCTTTACTGTGTAATTACTTTTCTGTGTAATTTTTAAAAAAAAACCTTTGTGTACTGCAGCTTTCTACTGCTGTAGAAGTCTTACAGTGTATTTCCAAATGAGATTTGCCTTCTGAGGTTTTGTCTGAAGTTTAATAAAAAAATTAAGTCAACTCTTGATCTACATGCTGATCATCAGACTTACGACTTGAGTAGACAATTGCTTCCCTCAGACTGTTGAGCACAGAATGATACTACAGAGTACATGACGCACAGTGTGTCATTGACAGCAGACCCTGCTCTGGCTCGAATTGTAAAGCAGTTTTTTTAAACTTTTTTTTTTTCCCAAAGATGACATTACTAAACAAGAACTAGTTAATTTTAGAGGCAGGGACTGACCTGAGATTTTTTTTTTTTTTTCATTTGCTACTAGGGTTTTAATGTTATCTGTGTTACTCCTCTTTTTTCACTTTCATAGCTGTGTTTTTCCTCCTAGGTCTGAGGTCTGTTACTGTTTTTGTGTTCCAGAATATGGGAATTTTTTTACTGTCTTGTTTTTCAATCAATATAGGCCTTAAATATATGGATTTTTTTTTTTTCCTGCTTTATAGCTTATCAGAAGTGGTGTCCTTTCACTTGTTTTTCAATCAATATAGTTCTAAATATATGGAATTTTTTTTTTTCCTGCTTTATAGCTTATGTCAGAAGTGGTAAGATACTTTCTCATAGCAGTTTTTCTGTGGGATAGATCTGTATTTAGAGGAAAGCTATTAAGAACTACCTTTTTTATGTTGGAAAGTATTTAAATATATTCTGTTGCTGTCCGAGGCTAAAAGGTGTCATAGCTGGGTATTCTAGTGCTGTTGTCTGGATGAAATTTGAAATACTGCCTTTGAATAGTCACTAGTCTAATGCTCCAACTAGTGGTTTTGTTCTTACACTCAAATATTTAACTGGCTTTGTTCACAGTTCACTATAATGGTGGTATCTTCCTTGCCTAAAGTAACAAAGAAATGGTATTAAAGAAAAATCAAGCGGCTATTTAATTCTATACTTGTATACTAATCTGCACTCTTTCCCAAAAAGTATGGTAGGAAGGATAGCAAGTCTTAAGATGTGAATACGTTGAAATAGCAGTTCTTTTCCACACATAGTAAATAATAGGATCTAATTTGTTTTTTCCATTATCTTCAGCTGATCTTAAGAGAACAATTGCTGTTCTTCTGGATGACATCTTACAACGCCTCGTGAAATTGGAAAACAAAGTTGATTACATCGTTGTGAATGGCTCAGCAACAAATACCACTAATGGAACTAGCAATCAGGTGCCAGTAACTTCAAATAAACGTGTAAAACCAGCAAGCAACATTAGATAGCAAACAGGGCCAATGTGTGTTGCTGCATCTATGATAGGTAATATTTAAGATAAGCTTTTTATTTCTGGCTAGGGCAAAGCAGTAGTTGACTCTAAAAGAAGCGTAAACTATTCTGTTATACAATGTGCTGGATCTGTGTAGGCCTAACTTAATGTGCATAGGTTCTCAAAGCATTATTTCATTGCCTTTGAGCAGTACTTCTGAAGTGATCTTTGTTGTCTTTAAGGATATTTTGGTATCATGATTTGATGTAGTATGCCATTGGATAATAATAATAAATGGAAAGCAATGGGGAACTTATGGGTAGGTTTCTAAATATATTTATTTAAGTATAAATATAACATATCTTTTGGATAGGTGAGCAGTATTGTAGCTTATTCATTTTTTGTGATCTGCGTTAAGCCAAGGTAACTGAGGAAAACGCATTGTTAAACAGGTGTTAGAAAATGTATATACTTACAATATTTTGTTACTCATTTACTAAAACAATATTAAATTGAGGATAGCATTGGCGGAAATATTTTAAAATTGTGACCCAAAGAATGTCTTTATTTGCACTATCTGTCAGAATAGCTAGAGAAAATTTACTGTATATTTAAGAAAATTAATTAGAAAATTTACTGTATATTTAAGAAAATTAAGTATAATAGGAAAACATCCTAGGTAGTAACACTGTCCAGGTACATCTTTATGCCAGAGTTAGGGCAGTTAGATTATCAAAAGCAAATCATAATCTGTGATATCTTAGATGATTATTTCTTACAAAGATATTTAAGTGTATGTATTTTGTAATTGCAGATAAAATTATTTAAGTGATGGAAATAAGTTTTGGATATGTGAATACTGTTTATTTTTATCCATTGCTGTTTCTTTTTAACTTTTTAGTACCTTGCAATTTGTGATGAGTATAGCACACCATCTCCCTGAATTGCTTTTTTGATCAGGAGGAAAAGTAATGAAGGGAAACAAGGCATCTCTGCATTTAAAAGAGATGTATGTACTAAGGGTGTCTTATCATGGAATATTTGAGAGCTAAGGTAATGTTTGCCTTATGTCTAAGTTAGCCTTACAGCAAAGTGAATTGCAGTGTGGATGCACTGTATTTCAAAATATTACTGAAGTCATGATAAAGTGCCACTGAGCCTGTTTTTTAAAATGTACTGAATATTTGGGGGGGAAGGGAAGGTATGTTCAGGGACTTCTGCCAAAAGTGTGCTGTGAGTGGGTTTTTGGGGGTGGGTGGGGGTGTTCTAATCCTATATTAAGGAAAAAAACCCACCAGTAAAACCAGAGGTGCTGGATGATATACCAGCCAAAGTTATGTGTTTTTTCTTTTCTTCTATTTCCCTGCTGATATTCTGGACTGTTACAAAGGAAAAATACACTCACGACCTTAGTTAGTATCCAGATGATTTTTTTTCTGTCACATCGTGTGTAAACGTGTACTCACTTCAATGCAGAAAGAGAAAAATAAATTTTTAATTGTACTTGTAAAGGCTCCTGGTTTTTTTTTTTTTAACAGTCTTGTCATTCTTGCTACATGTGCTCTAGGTGTTTCTGGATCGGAAAATTGTACGTCTCTGATGTTTAGTACGAGTCTGTCCAGTATTCTTCCCGCTCAATCACTGAGTTCTTTTGCTCTTGAAATTCTAATGCCCCGAAACTTTCCTCAGGTTAGAGGTGAGGGGAGAAAGAAATGAAAAGAAAACAAAACGACTGGTTTAGATCTTTAATGGTGTAGACTTCACTCTTTAATCTAAGAGTGAAGAAGACAGGTGCGTAACTTCTTTTGAATCTGCAAGTCTCTATTGACAATGTGAAGATAGGTTTTTCTATCTATCTGTGTTTTTTATTCTCCAAGTACTTGATTGGTACCATTCAAAACCTTGGTAGGTGGTGTCCCTTTGTGCTATAAACAGTAATATGAGTAGTTTTAGTCTATGCAAAGTGACTTTTTTTTTCTTTTCTTGTAAGGGTATGTGAAGTCTTAAAGTTATTGAGGATTGTTAAACAAGCATAACAAAAGTTGCAAGGTGAATATTTGTCACTACATGCACACGCAGCTTGTTTTATATGGGGATTTTGGAGACTGATGCACTAACTTACATGCAGTTATGTACTCATAGTAATTCATGGTGCCATTAGCAAATAGTTGCTTTTCTCTTCGGTTTCAGTAGTACAATGGCTCATTGGAATTAGCTTGTACTTGACAAATATATAGGGAGAACTGTGAACTACCTATATGTTACGGCACAAATGTTCCATTCATGAATAGAGTTGAAACAACTGTTTATCAAGAAGCAAGTTAAAAATACTCTAGTAACATCCTACATCTAATTTGACATGAAACCAGCATTATTAGGGGTTGATAGAGCAATGTATCAGTGTCTGTGATACGTCTTGCCCCTTTTGTCGTGGCCAGTCTCATTCTGTGCTGTATCGCCATGCTGTGCCTCTGACTTGGGTTCTCCCTTCACCAGCTGCCTAGCACAGTACTACTTCCATGATTTCTGTGCTCCAGCAGTGCAGAGGGTGGAAGCTGAGCTTCACCCTTTTTGCTGAGGTGACAGCACTTTTCAGAGTGGCAAAACTAAACTTCAAGTGTGTGGACTAAAGAAAAGAGGGTAAGGAAAGGATAAGGGGAGGGTCTCAGCTGCCTTTTCTATCAACAACAGTAGCAAGAAAACATCTGCATGTTCTACCCTGCAGCCTCCTTTAAAGGATATTTTGAGAGGTGTGGCAGCCCTGCAATGGCAGGAGGTTGCATAAAGAACCCAAGGGTTTGTGCAAAAGAAGCAAGAGAGAGCCTACAACTCACCTCAGGTCCAAAGTGCTTGATAGTGTCATGGCATTTGGTTGTGTTGCCAAACATTTTTTAATTTTTTTTTTTTTTTTAAGGAATACTTAAATAGTATTTCTCCTGTGCTGCAGTTTTTATGATGCAGGTATGTATTTCCCATTTCAGATGCTATCACAAATCCCCGCAAAGTGACCTGCTTCAAATTTTGTGAAACACAGAATCTCCTTAAGGTTGGTTGGTTCTTAGGCTGGACGGGGTTTGGCTTTTTTTTCCTTTTCTTTTTCTTTGGAGGGCAGGGGGACATAACCTCCCTTATATAAAGAACTCCGGTTTTGGGAGTGGTGGTGTTTGTTTTGTTTTTGTTTTTTAAATCTTTTGCTAAATTATGAGACTTGAATTTTCCTAGCTGTAACTTGCCTCATGAGTGTTTACCAGCTGATTTCACTAGGTAATTGGTAGTACTTCTGTGCCTGTGAATGATTGTTTAATGTAAGTAGCAAAAAAATGTTCAAGATCCACTCCCAAACAAAAGTTCTAATGAAGAAAAATGGAAAGAAAAGGATATGTTGATTGCTGTCTAAACAGCTAGAAGCACCACAGGTCTCAATACAGCTCTCGAGTTCCACAACCAAGTAACAGGCAGGCAAACATCTTTCGTAGGGGAGATTGTCTTGATTCACTAGTTCTTTTTGTGGCTTTCCTCATTTAAATAAATAATCTTTGAATCTCACCATAGTAACCTTAATTTAATAAAGATATCCAAGCATTGCCTCACAATTGTGTGTGAAGAAAAGTGCTGAGTGGTTCCACATTAAAGAACCTTTGGGACGAATGGATAGACAGACAGATACTTCACTGAAACAAATGCGCTGAGATGGCTCTTAACAAGCTGCTTATCCACTCTTAGGATCACAGAAGTTTGCTGATCTGTTTTTAATTAAATAATTTTAAAAATACAGAAACATGGCACAAGGATGTAGAGGTTCTTGTAATCAGTGTGGTGAAACATCAGTATCCTTGGCATCCAGTAATACGCCTTACATACTGCAGTTGTCTCTTTTTCCAAGTAACTTGCTAAATACTTGTTTTTCATTAACACAATCATTTAAAGAGGCTGGCTAGATAGACGTAAATTCTAATTGAAAATAATTGCTAATGCAGAGGTTTCTAAACTGCATCGTGTCTGTGATGTGTGCAAGTTGCCTAAGTGACCAAGTGCCTCCTGTGCAGGTAACGTATTCTGGGGCTAATCGCTGCTGTTGCGGCCTTTGTTCGTGGGAATGCAGAAGCAGAGTAAATTTGGGAACCTCTACAGGAAATTTATTTAGAAAAATGACTACTTAAATTTTAAGATCCCAGTTTATTATGTTTTCTTAAAAACCTTTTAGAAAGTACTTCCTCAGAATACTCAAATTAATGGAAAAATTAATCTCTAAAACATTTTTACTTAATTGGTATAGTTTTTTAAAGGTCATGTAGAGTGTCTATTGAAATCTTTAACAATTAATCCAAATATAACCTCCTTACCTGGGATTGTGTCCTTTTGTTAGTTTGTGCTTCACAAAACAATGCCATCTGCTATCTGAGGGTTCGATTTAATGTATTTGATAGTATGTAAAATACTTTTTCAAAGGCAAGAGTGAAATGTGAGACTTTATAGCAGCTAAGAAGGTGAATTAGACTTTTGCAATGTTTCTCATGTGGAATAGACTGTTACTGAATTGATATTTCACTAAATCTCAGTTTGTCTGGGATGATGCACATGTGCATTTGTATCTGTTTAAAAATATCATTTAGGTTATTAAAATGAGTCCCAAGGTAAAGAAAAAATCTCCCATTACATACATATATGAAATCACATCACTTAAACACCAGTGGCATCACATGCTATGGAATTATCTTATCTGTAAGTGATCTTAATCACTACAAATTTCCCAGCCGTGTTTGTCAGTACCTCCGGCAAAAACCTTTCATTATTATTTGACCCTTGCTTGCATATGAGCTTGCATATTCCCTGTGGCGTTCATCAACTTACTCTGTTCAGTAGATGTCTAATCATGTTCTGTTTCTCTGGTAGCAAAACTGAAGAGAAACATGTTGACATTTTAAAATGCCTGTAAACTAGGGTTAATACTACACTAATTTTTATTGTAGCATAATGTATGGTCATGGTTAGAAGTTTATAAGTGAGTACTGCTTGCATTTGCTTTTAAGTATATCAGAATATTGATAGCAAATGTGGAGGGAGGAAACAATTTGATGAAAACTGTTTCCATTATTCTTCACGCCACTTCAATTCTTCTCATTTTCAGGATAGCTAATTAGAGACAGTCATTGACCAAATGCATAGAAATAGAATGAATAACTACTACTTCAAAATGATGAGTTGAGGTCTAAAATATTAAAACAGTTATTTCTAAATTATTTATTCTTGCATTAATAAAGTGGCTATCTTCAATTTACATAGGTATTTCACTAAGATGAATTTTAAAGCACTTGTCAAACTTGTAAGGATTTTAAAAAAATTAAAGGGTCACACATTTTATTGTTAACAGAGCGTGTTGGGAGAGACTGTCAACACCCTTCCCAGCATTAAGCTGTTGCCTTTGCTGTGTAGGCAGCACCTTAGGTCTCACAGAGCTGTACTGTAAGTGAGTGTCCATATGTTCAACCCACTTTGATGTGTTCAGAGATCCTGGGCCAGCACAATCCGTATGCTACATCACAGCCATAGGAGGTAAAACATGCCATCTGGATTTCTGTTCCTTTTACTTACCTTGTGGCATGGCCTCTTTACGGTAGGAGAAAGCCTTCCCGCCTCCCCCCCCTTCCCGACTCAGTCTTTAACAAATTTTATTTCGGATGTCCATTAACAATCTCTTAGAAGGGATGGGAGACAGGAGAGGGTTTTCTGAATCCAAAATACATTTACTCATGCTATGACAGTAAAACAGTGGGTGCGTGAAAAACCTTTATTAGCCAAGAACTCCATTTCTTAATTACAAAGTCTTTCACATTTTATATCTGTTCCTAAGTCTATGAGCACAAATTTGGATCCAAGCAGATGCCGGGGTGCCAATAAGCGGAACACTGTCTCTTTATCGCAGAGAACACTTGCTGTGATCAAATCTGGGAATAAATCCTCAATTTTTAAGGTGGGAGGTAGTTCATAGGACAGATGCCCCACAGAAAATTACTTTTGATTTCCTACTCTCAACACCTTCACACTGACTGTTCACAGGTAAGCTGATACTAAAGTACAATATAGACAAACATTTGTAGCCCTCACCAAAAGCTGCCTAATTCAGAACCATAGCTCTGCTCTCCAAACCCAAACTGTATTTCAGAGCACTGTTTTTAACAAAGACCTTGCACAGGTGAGGTACCTCAACCCATGACATAGGAGCTCTGCTCATTCTGTGTGAACCAGGCTTGCCAGAGCTCTCCCCCCCCCATTTTATTGGCAGTGCTGGGATCTCTGGCACCAGTGAAATGTGCGTACAGATACGGTATCTCAAAGATCTTCAGTTTTGTGCAGCTCCCGTGCAGTAGCGTGTTCCTCAGTACGTTCAAATTCCCTGTCTGCAGAGCTTCTTGTCCTGCTTTCAAGGTCCCCTTTCCCCATCTGTTTCTTTTTCAAAGTTTTGGTCACAGGAGGAATTTTCTTTTCCCTGGAGAAACAACTCTGACTTCTTCGTGTGGTTTTATTTTCCTCTGCTAGCTTAACTTGAAGATATATTGACCGCAGTGATGACTTGCTCCCATATCTTTTCTGCCTTTTAGAGGGACCTGTTCGTGTTCAGATCTCCATGTGATAGAACATGAGTGTTGTATTGCAGTGCTGGCTGCTCTGCTGAAATTTCTTATACATGTGGCACAGCCACAGGACAAATGCCCAGACCATATGCCCTATCACCTTATTTAGATACTGCTGGAAACTTGGGAGTCTCCCTGTTGTTTCATCTCTCTAGGGGGGATGTTTTGGCAAAGCACTGCCTTGGTCCTTGTGACATCTCTCTTCACCTTCTGCTTCATTGCTGGTGGCTTGCCCAGTGCAAAACAATCTGGAGATTTCCTTGAATTGCTGTACTTTCTTCGACAGGCACCTGTCATTTTATTGTATGGAAAAAGCCTACCCTCTTGGGTCTCATTTTGACAGTCTGAGTAGCTTATGCTAATGTGCAGAGCACAATTTAAATATCAATTTCCTAAAGCTCAGTTAAGAAAAACTTACTGCATCTTTTGCTCACATATTCAGTCACTATGCGATCAATATGTTTGTATCAAGAGGAAGCAGTCAATTTACACAGATAGTGCAGTATCAGAAATAGCAGCCTGTGGTCTATTTACTACAGCCTTCAAACACTTTGGAGGAGTTGTTTCAACATGGTGGCATTGTTTGTGGCACATGGAGAGGAATTGGGAATTGCAGGTTGCCAGTCTAGCTGGCCTCCTTTTGTCTTGAACTATGAACAAAACATGTATTATATTTTATAATGGAAGAGATTTCAAAGAACATCAGTGAGTTTGAGGTAAGATTTATGATACCAAGAGGCAGCTTTCATGTTCTAGATGAAATAAATCTTTCAAGCTGTCCTAGATAAATGGCAAGTTTTTTTTTTTTTTTTTAGGATCAACAGCTCTGGATTCTCTCTAAAACACAAAGATAGGGACTGTCTCTGCTCTGAAGAGTTTTACAGTTGAGTTCCTTGATGTTGTAACTGGGTCATGTTTTTCACATTCTCTGTAGATTCCTTCATGCCCTAAGAATGAAACTCTCCATAGGTATAAACTTACCCACTGAGGTAACTTAGAGATTCAAGATCTACAACAAGTGAAGGGTCGGCAGGTGGTGGTGGAAAATCCAGGGGAGGTGGTTTCTTTGTTAAATGTGTACATTATGGGACAAGTCATATAATGCATTATGCTAAACATCAATAATTAAATTTACATTGCATCTTATGCTCTTTATGTTCTTTAGACCTGCCTCAAAATGTTAAATATTCAAGCTGTTTGTTGAAAAGTAAATATTTGGAATGGATTTCTTAACAGGCACCTCATTTTACTCAAATTAGAAATTAAAAACATTTGGAATTGGGAAAAAACATGGAGAAATGGTCATGCTTATGCCAAAATTATGTTTTCAGACGTGTCTTTTCAACTGAGCATTATACAAAGGCTGTAACTTCTCTTTGGTGTATTTTTGTCTAGTTAACAAACTGAACACTAGAATTTTAAGACAGGAAAATAATTTAACATTGAATTAGTGCTTTTCTTTTTTCTAGCATCTTTGCCATCAACTCAATCTGTAAAAACCAAAGAACCTTTATTCTGCAGTAGGACCTTGCCTGTCAAAGCTAAAACTGAAGAAAGGCTTGTTTGCCATAAAGCTTGTCTGTTTTTCCCATTCTATCAGTTGATCTAATAAAAGATGTTACCTCTTAATAAACTTTGAAAAACTAAACACGTAATCCACAACAAAGGGAAGACTTGTCACCTGGCAATAGTCAACTCGGTTATAGCTCATCAACATAGTTACAAACCACACCCTGTCCTTTTACCCCTAATAAACAGAATAATATTGTCTTCATTATAGTGCTTGAATAAGGAATGAAAGCTGTGTCATACATGATTTTGTTAGTATTTCTTTTACATAGTACATTTCCAGGACCTTTTATTTGTTTACAGTGCACAACAGCAGAACTGGAAGCAAATAGGGATGTATATTGGCTGGAGCATGGAACTTGTGAAAATTAGTAACTTACATGCTTTGTTTATTTAGCTTGAGTGGGAATTTAAAGGTGAAACAAGACTACGGCAGCAACTGGAGCTTGAGTAAGCCTTGCCAACACACACTAATTATTCCTAGTGGGACTGATGTGATGGCAGTCTGCTTACCTTCTAGGAAGATGGCCGTGGTACTGTAGGATAGGCTTGCTGTTTATGTACAGGAAAAAGGAGTAACTAAAAAGAAGAAATTCACCCTACTACTAGAATCACACTGTTAACATGGTGAATGTTACTGTTGTTGAAAACTTGTGCCTCTGAGCCAACATGTAGTAGCAGAACAAATACATACTGCCTTGCACTGCAGAGAAAAACAAGGCTCACGTAGACCGTATCGTGCAGAAGCACTGGCAGATCATTGCACAGGATGCACACAACAGTCTTTTCTCAGTGCAGCGGTGTCAGCTAAGAGCAATTGGAGATCATCACAACTGTGCTTCTTGAGTGAATGCAGTAAGGCTCTTTTTTTTTAGTTCAGGCAGGCTAGAGGAAATTTTTGTAGGCAAAGAATACAACCGTACTTTGTACTTCGCCAGGATGTTGTAGAAGTATTCCTATGCCTGCAACATACCTCTTGTGTAGATTCGGCCTTTCTGCATGCTCTGTACTGGTCACGCAATCACAGGGCAGCGAAGGTGTGGTTTCAAGGTGTACGTAAAGGGATCTAACACAGGTTCCCTTTGTGAAAGGAGGTCCTGAGCTCTCCCCATCTCCAGCTTGAGCATCCCTGAGGTTTCCCTCCCCTGTATCTGCCAGGGAATCGGTGACCAAACAACCCCCCCCCCCCCCACCCACCAGAAATGTGGTTTGGTAGGATCTAAATAGTAACAGCTGCTCAGGACAATGCCAGTGCAGGGGCAGAAGACAGGAGGGCTTGGGTGGAGATGATCTGTTGGGTGGTTGGTTTTGTCGGTGGCTGTATCAGTGCCCTTTCTGAGGCCCCACACCTGTACGTACAGGCACGCCCATGCCCAAGCACTGTAGTTCACGGAGGGTGTCTTCTCCGAGTCTCATAGCAGGGTGCGAGGGGTGACCACCACCGCCGCCACCACCATCCCGTGGAGGCTGCGTGAGCCCCCGCGCGTCCCCTGACGCGGGGTTTGCCGTGCCCAAACACCCGGCACACACCTCACAGTCACAGGCGCGCTCCTCAGCCGCCTGCCCGCCGCA